ACACAATTACCACAACATGTAACCAATTCACCAACCCCCTTAACCAGTTCTGCTAAACTACAAGCACAATTCCTGCTTAAAGCTTGGTTTATGCTTGACGCATTCACTTTCCGGGGATTGGACCGCAGTGATGCGGACGCTGAGCCGATCTGTCGTGGGGAAGAGGGAGCTGAGCCAGAAAGCCAGGCTCTCGATTTACCGGTCGATCTACGTCCCAATCCTCACCTATGGTCATGAGCTTTGGGTAATGACCGAAAGAACGAGATCGCGGATACAAGCGGCCGAAATGAGTTTCCTCCGTAGGGTGGCCGGGCTCAGCCTTAGAGATAGGGTGAGGAGCTCGGACATTCGGGAGGGACTCGGAGTAGAACCGCTGCTCCTCCGGATCGAAAGGAGCCAGTTGAGGTGGTTTGGGCATCTGGTCAGGATGCCTCCTGGACGCCTCCCCGGGGAGGTGTTTCGGGCATGTCCTGCCGGCAGAAGGCCCCCGGGTCGACCCAGGACACGTTGGAGAGGTTACATCTCCAATCTGGTCCGGGAACGCCTTGGGGTCCTGCCGGAGGAGCTGGTGGACAAGGCCGGGGAGAGGACGGCCTGGAGCTCCCTAATTGGGATGCTGCCCCCGCGACCCGGACCCGGATAAGCGGAGGAAGACGAAGACAAAGACGAAGGCATTCACTTTCCGCGCGGTGATGCGGCTCGCGGATGGAACGCGCTTCACAACTCGCAGCGTTTATGGTTCGTGCGGCTCGTCTCTGCGGTGAGCCAATATTCTCCCAAACTGTAGGGGGCAGCATGGAGCTCTACGGCATGCACCCAACACTACACCATAGTAAAAGTAGAAATGACTGTTGTTTACAACATGGCATTCCAGCATTTTTTAACAGCGTCCTCGTCTTTTCCGACAGTGCGAGCTATTTCTCTCCAAGAATTATTAACAACATGTTGATCACGGTGATCTCTGAGAGCTGAATCATACAAATGTCTGTATTTACGAACCTCTGCCATACTAGTTCTTGCCGGTCCGCCATGTTTTTCCACGTCCGTCCGTCTGCGTGGTTAGAAATTTTCCAAGGTGCGCGTTGCGGAAATTCTGGGCCGTGCAGAGGCGCGGTGGAGGGGTGTGGTTGTTAAAATGACGCAACTTTTCCGCGCCGAGCCGTGCGGACCTCGCAGACGCGTCAAGCATAAACCAACCTTTACACTCAAATTGCAAATCTAAAACACACTTTTTTCAAAACACTACACACAATTCTCTGCTGTTGGCACAATTTTCATGCAGAAAATATTGTTTTCACAAGGAACACACTGCTTTTCAAATATGCACACTGGCTCATCACAAGGGCAAACACCCGTTTTACAATCAGTAATCAGAGCTTTAGCATAAAAGGGCAACAGGTGAGCTCTTCTGTGTTGGAGCAATGGATGCCAACATTGGAAACAGAGCCAGAGTCAGAGGACTGAGAGTAAAAGGAGGAGGACGGGGAGGACGAGGATGAGGAAGACCAAGGACCGTAATCTCTGATGAGATCCGAGCCACTTTGGTTGATCATGTGGTCAACCATGGTCTTACAATGAGGGCAGCTGGGCAAAGAGTACAGCCAAATTAGAGCAGGAACACTGTAGCATCCATCATCCGGACCTTCCGAAATGAGAATAGGTAAGAAATCTTCTCTAACTAGAAAATGGCAGTACTGCATATCAATACAATGAGTATTCAATGAGTATAGTAGTAGTATTGCCCGTGGATGGTTTTGTTGGACAGTAAAAATACTGTAAAGTATGTTTCCAGTATTTAGGAAATGTATACCTACTTTGTATTCATAGTATTTTACTATTTGTTTGGCAGAACTGAAAGATTACCAACACGAGGTGGAAACAGGAAACTGAAATCCTCAACATGGTCCTAGAAAATAATGCCATAACATTACGACAAATGCAAAGAAATTATAGAAAACAACGACATGCTTCAAAATACTGATAGGGTCAGCCTATCAACACTGGACCGTGTCTTGTGCAGAAATCATCTCAGGGTGAAGCAGGTCTCCAGGGTGCCATTTGAACGAAACTCAGAAAGAGTCAAAGAATTGCGATATAACTATGTGCAAGTGAGTCCCACAACTGATGCATACACTCAACACTGTGTACAGTAAATTATACATGTTTCAATATTGTAATCATAACGATTGTGCTTCCCAATAGTGACCACTCCATGCATTTGAGTGTTCAGAGTGTAAAAACAATATTCTGAAATAACAACACATGCATGTATTTACTGTCTGTAGTATAGTAGGTGTATTACTGAACCAAAAAGGCTTTAGTCATTATGATGAATGGAGAAGACGTGTTTTCCATTCGTCATAGTGTTTTACATTGAGCACATAAGTGTTCGGCTGGTTCTTATAAATGTCTGTTCATATGATGGTTTGTGTGTCATTTGACAACAAAATCACATCGTGAGGAGAAATAACATTGTGTTGAATGTGAAGTTTAATGTTGCGGGTTAATTGAGGGGTTTTGCCCATTGTGTGTGTGCATTTTTGGATGTGTGTGTCGAGTTCTGAGGACATGAGGCATGCTTTCAGGAAATGTGTGTAAACAACTGAGAAAAACTGTAATATAGGCCCGTTTAGGAAAAACGTGGTTTTCTAAGTCACAGCCGCACAGAGGTGCTAAAACATTTTTAAATCCAACTTTATGGCAGTTTTTGAAAATCAGTTAGTTTTTAATGAAAAACGTTTGTTTTCTGAGGGGAAAAGGAGCCAATTCACCAAACTCATTAAATAATATCTAAAGTAAAGTGAACTGGGCCTCAGGAAGTAACAGCTGATGCCGGCTGACTGAGGAGGTAGAGCGGGTTGTCCAGCAATTGGAAGGTTGCAGGTTCAATCCCACTCCCAACAGGGAATGCTGCTGTTGTGTCCTTGGCAAAGACGCTTTATCCGCCATGCCTGCTTGTGGCGTCAGTTTACGGCAGGCCTCGCCTCTGTCAGTGCGCTTCAGTGCGGCTGTGGCTACATCGTAGCTCATCATCAACAGCTTGTGGATGCATGGTTGACTGGTTGTGTTATGAAGCGCCTTGGGGGGGTTGTAGAACCCTATGAAGGCTCTATACCAGGGGTGTCAAACTCATTTTAGCTCAGGGGCCACATTGAGGGAAATCTAGTCCCAAGTGGGCCGGACCGGTAAAAAAAAAAAAAACTTCAGATTGTTTTCTTTGTTTTAATACAATCAACATAAAACAAGGCTGGAGCCTGAGGACAGTGTAGTACAAGTACAACACCTGAAGTGTACTTGAAAATTTGAAAAAAAAAAAAAAACATTCCTTAGTGATTCAAAAAGCTTACAGATCACACGGCTAGATCAGTTTCAGTTGCAGCACTTAAAGTATATTTGACTCATTTTACTTTACATCTTTTAGCTTTCACCAGCACATCAATATCAGGAGTCACATCCTGAGTGGCGGCCATCTTCAGGATGTGATTCAAGTTCTTGTGTGAGCCTTGAGCGCAGCTTTGTTTTATTTATACTCATTACAGAGGAAACTTGCTCACAAAGATAAGTTTATTTTCACTCTACATTGTAAAGTATGAAAATAAAGTTTACACAACCATCTCGCGGGCCGGATTTAACCCGCTTGCGGGCCGGATCCGGCCCGCGGGCCGCATATTTGACACCCCAATACAGGCCACTCATCATTTTACCATGACTGCATTTATTGAACACAAAAATAAGATAAATTCAACTATTTTTACAGATTCTAAGCTTTATTGTGTTAGGAGCTGATTAGCCCTTCCTCACACACTAGCGCTGCTTTATTTTAAAGATGTGACCACAACGAGACTAACTCAACGTTAGACGGAAGGCTGGATGATTTTTATTCCTCATAGGGATGCTAGAACTTTCATTTAGATGGGGTTTTATTCTTCAAAGAGGTAAAACATGCAGCTTGATGCCATTCATGTGGACATTTGTCAGTAGTTCCTGTCATAGGGCTTAAATGTAGCCATGTGCTTCACATCAGCCAACCAGCATGGAGGTCTCTGGGGTATTTTCAGTGTTTCTATCAGAATAAAAACCAACAGATGCGAGGAGAAACTCGTTTGTTTTCCTGTGTTTCGGGACATATCTGAAAGTCACAACTGGGTTGCAATCACGTCCATCTGTTAGGTTTATTATCACCGGACAGACAGAAAAGATGTCCTGTAGACCGGTTCTGTGTCCATGTGTGGTGCCATAAAGGGACCATCATCCAGAACGGGGCACGATGCTTGCTGCCAAGTTTAAAAGAAGCTTAATTAATCATGAGCAAAACAATCAAAAACGCTTTTATAAAACAGAGTTATTTTCAGGAGTGCATACGTCACCTTTACCTTCAGCCATTGTGTCACATGATGTAATTAGTAGGCTACAGGGATGTGTATTTTTGAAATTCTGGCGATACGATACATATCACGATACAGGGGAGACGATACGATACATCACAATATACTGCAATACATTCATTCAGACGTTACAAGCATTTTTTTTACTGAATTTATTGTAAGAATGTTCAATAAACAGTCCAAACTGATACGTAACATGTTTAACATGAGGTATCTGAACCATGATGGAGGGATTTACATTTTAAATGGTGGAAACAAAACCCGTTGCACACTGCTGCCAACTAGCGTGTGGCGATTGAATTGCACAAAACGAAAAGAAAATACACAAATGTTTGCATGTAAATTCTTTCAAGAATTAGATACACGGCTTTTGAATATCGATGTAATAATCGCAGGAAAAAATATCACAATATATTGCCATATAGATATTTTCTTACATCCCTAGTAGGCTATATGTGGCCAATTCTCACCAGAAGGAAATATTCAACTATCGGGATAAAAACTGGAAACACGCCGCTACAGCCCTTCACTGACAGCTGCTTGACGAACTTTAAACTGCAATCAGATTGTTTTTGTGTGACTTTGTGGTAAAACACCGGAAACAGGGTGAGATTA